TACTACTGCTAATCCTTCATGTTCATGGGAAGACGTCTGGGAAAGTCACAGAAGTATGGAAGAATGCAACCAGCTCGGCAAGCTGGTTCTGAAATTCACTGCGTCCCACTGAAGTGCTGTGCAGAAGCAAAAAGGAGAAACTCTCACCTTCCTGAAAAAAATTTTTGACTATCCCTGTTCTCAGAGCAAGCAAAAAGAACCTCTGCTCAAAAACAAGTAAGGCAAGAAGGAGGGAAGAAGGTAGAGAGGGAAGAAGAAAGAGAGAGGGAGAGAGAAAGAAGAAAGGAGGAAGAAAGGAAATGAAGAGAGGAAAGGAAAGGAAAGGGAGAAAGAAAGGAAAGGAGAGATGGAAAGAGAGAGAAAGGGAAAGAAGGGAGGAAAGCAAGAAAGAACAAGTGATCTAAAGCCAAATTGAAGCACACAGCTATGATGTAGAATCTGACAATTTGGCATCACTTTGAAATATACTTTCTAAATATCTATCCCCCATTTATTGCAGAAAAACACATTTATTGGAGAAAAACACTCTGTTGAAACAAATAACCAAGCATCTACCAATCTGTGTGCATTAGAAGAAACATACTATGCATATGGCAAAATCATCTAATTAACATGGTAGAATCACACTAGGCTCTGGGAAACACTCATTCTTACAGAGGATGCAGTTTTGCACTTGGTAACCAAATTACAAAGACTTTTTTCCAGAGCACTGTACTCTGTCATGCATTATTGATTTGCAGAACTTCAAAACATCAAAACAGGATACTTCCAGGGACTGTCAACTACCTCAGAGTCTGATATGAAGCCAGTGCTGATAGCATCTTTGTTTAATAAAAGTAAGGAACTTTTGTTTTCTAATATCTCTGTTTGAAGACCCCTGTATGGGGATAATCAATAACTCACTTATGTACAAAGTTCAGTGAGCAAGAATCATAGACAAACTTTACACATAAGTGGCATTTGGTGGCTTTGAGGCTGGTATTCACTTTGAAATCAGCTCAGCTTAAACCAATTCTGGGCATTCACTCCTGCCCCAGATGTGAGAAACCCTCTGACTCATTGGATGATGCATGGTCTGCAGAGGCAGCTCCAGGGATCAGCTAGTTAGAAATACAGGGGGGAAGAAGCTTGAGGGGGCTCCTGCAGCACTGCCCCCTACTTCCTTCAACTGTCTGCAGCCCACATGACAAGAAATATGCACAGCACATGGAAGGGACTTACAGAGATGGAAGGCCACGATTGGATGCTCTCCCAAGAAAAAGAGGAAGCGGACAGGTGTATGTTATGGCTTGTATCTACATGTTCCCGAAGCCCTTGTGTGGTCATGGGTGGGAAGTTTTGAAAGTAGCTGGATTAGACTCTGAGATGCTGGGAATAAGGGTGGTGCCTCACCCTGGGTATAGGTGGCACTATCTAAAAGTCAGTAGCTTGGATGGAACATAAAGGGACAGAAAGAAGCTGCTTCACTACTCTGATACCCTCTGCCTCCTGCCTTCTGCTGGCAATGCCATGGACTGTTTCTCCTCTGCCATAAATCTCTGCCATGCTGTCGAACTGAAAAATTATGATGCTTTTTTAAAAATGCTATTTTAAAAATAGGCATCCGTGTACCTACATGTCGCTGTAAACCATGAATATATACACTTCACCTGCAGCCTGATATGTAAGCACACACCAACAACTCAGACAAGTAAGAGACACTATCACTTGTGATACAACTTTCTCAAGCAATGACGACTCAGTAACACTCGAAACCAAAGAAAGTAAACTGTCTCTCGTGCTAATGCTCCTTGCAATCCTGTAATATGCTGTCACGTGTATTAGAATCATAAAAGGAAAACCCTGGGTTACTGCAGAAATGGAACTCACTGGCGTTAACAATTCCATGAAAGTGTTTCCTGGCAGTTACTGAAAAGTCAGGCAAGGTATGGGCTGCTTCTGCTATGGCCTGCAATGTCTACAGCTCAGCATAGCTCTTGGGTATTCAGTATCAATCTCAGGATTCTGTCACTTCTTCTGATCTTCCTTTTTCACTGATTGGTGCCATTTTGAAGCACAACTGTTCACATTTGCATGCACATCCTTCATTCATACCTGTGTTTACAATGGGGTGGAATGATTTTTGCAAATGAACCCCACTTTTAGTTAACACCAGCACAGCTACATGTACTTCAACGAGAAATACCAATGATATATTTAGTGGCCAAGAAAGCCTGATTTTAGTTTCAAGAATTCTGGGGGAGCCAGGCGTGGTGGCCCACTCCTGTAATCCCAGCACTTGGGAGGCTGAGACAGGTGGATTGTGGCAAGTTCAAGATCAGCCTGAGCTACAAAGTGAGCCCAAGGCCAGCCTGAACTGCACAGTGAGATCCTGTCTCAAAAAAACAAAAAAATAAATAAATAAATGAATAAAGAAAGAAAGAATTCTGGTGGGTAAGAATTAAAGGAAATGCAGCTGACCAAAATTTAATTCAGAAAGGTACAAGGAAAAGCCCAGATGTTATGCAGTCATTTAATGCGAACAAGAGTAAACAGACATTTTAGATGAATTTTCAGTGTCACTGTATATTACCTAATAAGTCTACATTTAACAATTACCAAGATGGCCCTCATGATAGAACTTTTAAAGCTACTTTAGAGCACTAATTATTTTCTTCTGGTAACATAGAGCACCGAGTTTTTTATATGAATGAACTTGTTCTCATTCCTCCCACCACCCAAGACAAGCTGTTGTTGCATTATTTGATGGAAATTCTGTATTCAGATTCTGGTTGTATCAATGCTGTATTGCAAAGGTCTCTTCTAATGTTAGCTTTCAATGTTTTTTTTCTAGAAAGCCTGAGCCATCTATTACTGCAGTGCCCCTGTATATAACATTTCAGGGTAGAAAGGATCTGTCTTTGTTTGCACTCATGCGCTGCTGACAAGAGTTCTCAGTTTCTCCCAACCTATGCATGAGTTCTACTGGGAGGACTTTCAGAATGAACAGACTCCTCGAGAGTTTAACTCATTATAAACCCTTATCTGCATGATGACACCCATATCCTCATAACCCAAATTTTAGCTACATTATGAGCTTACATAATCTAGTCTCAGTTGAGTTATTGTTATTTGAGCACCATGCTTGTGCAGCTGATAGGCAAAGCCTCCAGAAATAGGCAGAGTCCAATGATCATACATATCAGGATTCATGAGGAACCCCCATGGATATCAAAGTATATTTACTCCTCAGGCCAAGAGCCAGGGGAGACCCTTCAGAGGTCAGGCAGTAGTACCTCTGCTGAGTCATGTAAGAATGAAAACAAGAAATTACTTTCTATTCACGACCAGCGGACATGTCTGACTGACCTTTTTCCCTAGGTATGTAAAGATGCATTTAAAAAGAAGAAAGCAAAGAACCAGTAATGGCTGCAAACTAAGAAAGCTTCATACAAAGAAGAGGCAGCTTGATCATGAGATTAAAGGGACACAAGGAAGTAAAGAAGTGAATACTTCTCTGGGTATTTTTGGAACGCCCTGCTATAATGCCCAAAGAAGCCTATGATCAATGACTCCCATGAGCTGAAACTCTTAGAAAATGCAGTTACAGCAGCTGGCTGCCTAAGTTCCATCTGTGATCTAGCAATGTTGTCGCTAGGTAAAAAACACAGGATAGTGCTTCTACAAGTAGAAACAACACTGTGGACCAACGTCAATTCCACTGATGCCAGTGAGGAATGCTGGGTCCTTAACTATCACGTGACCTAGCATCTCTGTCAACAGTACTTGATTCACAGGGACTGGAGCACCCTTCCCTAAGCGGTTCTCTCCCATGTAGATGCAGCTCCACTTACATGAAGCCAGGCACTTGAGGTGGTCTGTTAGAAAGGGAAAAAGAGTTGAGAAAACTGCAATTTACCAGGAATAAAATAAATTGATCCTGAGCATGGACCAGCAGCAAAAACGCACACAGAAAAAAAATAATTAATGTATTTATTGCTCTTTTTGAGACAGCATCACGCTATGCAGTTCAACCTGGCCTTGAGCTCACAACTATCCTCCTGCTTCAGCCTCCTGAGAGCTGAGATTATAGGCATGCTCCACCATGTCCGGGTTTTTTTTTTTTTTTTTTTTTTTTTCCTTTTGGTCTTTTTGAGATAAAGTCTCTCTATGTAGTTCAGACTGGCCTTGAGCTCACTCACTTTGTAGCCCAGGATGGACTCAAACTAGCAACAATCCTCCTGCATCAGCTTCCTTAGTGCTGGGATTACAGGCACACACCACCATGCCTAGCTATACACACACGAACTTAATACTCTTTAAAAAAAAAAAAAACCAAAAGGCAGAAGCAGAACACTGCTGAGATTAAAACAATGCATCCAGCCCAAGGAGAAGAGGAAACAGATGAACTTGGATGCTCAGAGGCTACCCCAAAACAGGAGAGAGATAAAATCAGGGAGAGAAGGTGGGAACATACAGGTGACTCTTGCAAAAGCTAAAGGATGAAGTAGGGTAACCCATCTTGCTTTGTGGTGACAAACTTTCTAATTCTGCTGCTGGGTCTACAGGATACAGGATGCAAGTTTCTCAGAGGGATCACTGTATTTGTTACTTTTCTAAGTAGAGCTGATGTGAGCAATCGAGACTCATACTTGGATGTAACCAGGATTTCCTAGTGGCAACCTGCACATTTAGGCCACAGGAAAAAGGTGACATGGGAACCTTCTTATCAGGAGCCACATGGGAATTAGACCATTAATAAAATAAAGGGATGTTTATTTTTTCTCAACACACTCATCATCTATGTCCAGGAGGAAAATTAATCTCATGGCCTGTGACTTTTGCTACTGCATGTGCCTCGATTTACTATTTAGAAGCAGAAATAAAAACCCAGCTCCCCACACAAAGGCCTTTTCTCCTCACAGTGTGCCCTGATTTCTTGTCCTCCAGGGAATGCAGGCCCACTGTGCTCCGGCACCACATTCCAGGTCTCCACCCTTTACCCTTCATCGATTTCTTACCCAGCTGGACAAGGTTGGGGTCGGTATCAGTGGTCCAGTCTCTTTTTCTTCTCACTAGGCATGCCATGGAATCTCTCTGTTGACTATTTTCTTTAAGGGAAACTCCCTTTAGTCCTCAATCCAGTTGAACAGAAGCTCCTATCCAGGCCCAGTCAACACCTACACTGTTCTCTTCTTTACTGATTCTTCAGGGCAACTTCTGAAAAAAGAACAGGACAGAGGAAGGAGACAGAGAAAATAAGAAACCGAGAACAAAAGGAAATCCCAGTACCTGGACTCTCCTTTGTTGATCACATCTACAAGTCTCCAACCTATCTGTAACTTTTATCCAATGTTCACATTTGAATTTCTTGTGTTTTCTATTTTAATTCTGAACCTTCTGCCACAAGTTATCATCATTGTGTTTCAATTCCACTGGTTGACTCTGTTTCCTTCAGGTTTTCTTTGATTCTGGAGCCATCTGAACACTCTTGAAAAACCCCTGGGTTTGTTCTTGGGAGGCAGTAAAAGAACTATTAGAACATTTTCTTCTCTCCTGAGCTGACAACTAGATAACAGTGTAGTCATTATAAAACCAAACAAATATTTCCAAAATAAACACTTGCTTTGCCGTAAAATATTTCTAAGGCAGCAGTGAGACAAACACCTGCATGATGGAAAAACAACACATCAGTAAGATTTGTGAAGTTCTTTATAAGCAACTATAGCTGTTCAGGCTGCATTTTTTGACATATCCCAGAACTCAGAAGCTACTGGGTGAAATGATTTGTTCCCAACTCTCTCTATCTTCTACAAAGAATTTAGTAAAAAGAAGTTTGTCTAGCAGAGAAAACAACATTGGAAATTAATGCACACTCATTGCTCATGACCCAGTTGATTGCAACTTGCTAAGCCAAGAGGCATCTGATGGAAAAGAAATGAAAAATAGGAACTATTGAACAGTAGCTTGTAGCAGGCCTGGGTTTGGCTATGAACAATCTGGGGACAAATAATCCTACCACAATTCTTACAGGGCATGAGTGCTTCACTGACCAATCAAAACAACCACAGCTCCATCTAGAGAAGAGTGGCTTCATCTGATTCACCTTTGTTTTTTGTTTTTGTTTTGTTTTGTCTTTTTTTTTTTTTTTTTTTTTTTTTTTTTTGGTACTAGGGATTGAACTCACGACCTTGCACTAGTCAGGAAGGCGCTTATCCCCAGCCCCTCTGATTCACCTTTGTAATTGACAAGAAATTCCACCAAAGCCTCTTCATAGTAACGTACTTAGCTGTTGTAAGAAAGGACTAATTTTTGCCCGAGGTATATTTGCATTTAACAGTAAAGTTCCTACATCATCTCTTCTTTCAATGTATAAAAATATATCCCCAGAAATATTCAAAATTTTACCCTATCTGTTCTTCTTGACTCTCAAAAAAGTTTTATTTATTTATTTTGAAACAGGGTCTTTTTCTATACAATCCAGGCTGACCTGGAATGTGATAGGTAGCTACTTGAACTACCGATGGCAGTGACTGTCCTGCCTCAGCCTCTCAAGTCTTGGGATTACAGGTGCGCGCCATCACATCCAGCTTGACTCTCAAAGTGTGTAGCTACACCAGGTACTGCAAATCTTGGAAACTCCACTCTAATTGAAATTTCGACTATAATCTACAAGTATGTCCATGCTGATTATACAGAAAGCCTTTGAAGCAACGTAGCTGTTCTGTAATTTGCTTCAGTAGTTCTACCCAAGGGCAGTTTTACACACAAATTTCTGGCCCTTTCTCCCCACAGGGGTAATCTGACCAAATCTGGAGATATTTCTGGTTGCCAGGATGGTGGGGAGCAGCTGTTATGGAGGACATGGACGTCAGGGATGCCAAAGTATCCTGTAGTGCACAGGACAGACTCCCAAGAGCATTAACCAAAGCTAGTTGTCAAAAAGATCGAGCTGGAGGGATCAAGAGTCACTGTGAGCATGTGAAATCTGATAGGAACATGTTTCAAACCCCAAAAGACAGATTAAAAACTACTCCTTTAAAATAAGTCACATTGAAAATTTCTACGCACATAACACGTACTCTAGGTTTAGGTGAGGTGTCTCGGTTATTTTTGTTGTTGCTGAGACAAAACACCTGACACCTAAAATTAGGGAAGGACAGGTTTATTTAGCTTGCAGTTTGTGGAGGTTCAGCCCATGATCACGTGGCTCCAAGGCAGGGTAGTATAGCACAGGGACAACACTTTTTAAGGGCAGCAGCAAGCAGAAGTAAAAGTGGGGAAGGGCAAGCCTCATTTCCTCCCTTATATTGTACACAGGCCACTTCTCTAGCCCAGGTATAGCACTCACAAAATCTCCTTGCCCTCCTCTTGTACAGGGTGAGGATGTTTACAAAGTAAGAAACTTGGCTCCTGGCTGGGTTGCTTAAACTTCTAAACTGCTCAAGCTAACATAAAGTATCAAACATAACAGGAGGGATAAATGGAAAGCTGAGTAAACTTTAAACACAGTTGCACTGGTGAATGTAAAGATACTTGTATCTTTTACACTGAAAGAATATTCCAGAAAATAAAATTCTTTATATTGTTTTGCAAATGTGGCTCCCTATTTTCCTAAAATTACACTTATGAAAGTTCTTTAGTTAGCTGAAATTTCTGAGGATAAAAATGATCAAAGACTTATAGGACACTTACTCAGGCTGAGGTAGTTTAAGACACTTGAAACTCACAGTAGTAGATGCCTCTGGGCTCTCCCTGCTTCTACAAAGGCCATTATTACAACAGTTTAGTGAAACTGTATGGGGCTTGACCATTAGGAGGCAGTAATATGTCTGGGCCAATTTCCTAACTTTCTTTTATCATCACCATGTCCATGTAAAAGAATTTTCCATCACAGATTGGTCTTAATGTCCTTGGATCTGTGCATGATGAAAGCATATGGTGAAAGAAACTGCTCATCTCCTGTCAGCCAGGAAGCAATCAGACAGGAAAAGGCGAGCTGGTATCCCAATATCCCTTTCAAGGCCAAGCCCCTAATGACCTCACTTCCTCCCACCAGGCCCCACTTCTTAAAGGTTCCACCAATGGTGCCACAGACCAGCAGGCAATCCTTTGGCATGTTGAGTCTTTGGGGAATGTTCAAAATTAAAACAATAACAGTTAATGTCATTTTTCTCTAAGATCCTGAGACTTACTTTCCTGGTCCTCTATGTCTAATCATCAGAGGGGCAACAAAATAAGTATTCTGAAAGTTGGCAGATTATGCAAATTATTGAGCTCCACTCACAGAGAACTGAATCGGAAACTCTGAGAGCAGGCGCGAACGCTGTGCTATCACAAGCCCTTCAGCCCACCAAATAAACTCTTATATTCTGATAAGCAATAACTCGGCTCACTTGTTCTTAAACCTGAGTGTGTGTAGAAATCACCTGGAATATGATGAAAGCCACAGATTCTGTTCTGATTCAATAGATTGGGCTTGGACCCCAAAAATTCGGCCTTCAAGATCGTTTCAGTTCTAACTCAGGTAAGCAGGGCATGTTGGGTAAATTCATGGCCACTCTCCATGATGCGACAGCATTTATGAAGAATCCAGTGATGACAAGGTAAAGGGTTATGAATGAGTTTCATTTGATGTGTGGTAGCAAGATGCAGCCATAACCCATCCACTCATCATCCTACAGCAGAACTAGGGAAGCCAGTACGGGTCGGTGATAGTGTTCACCTCCTGATTTCTTCCACTATTGCAGGACAAGCATGAAACCAAGGAAGAGACACATATATTCTTGGCTGCCTGCTAGCTAGAACTAAAAAAAAAAAAAAAAAAGGCACTTGTTTTCTTCAAAATAGCTGTCCATACCATCAGACATAATAAAGTCAAACAGAACAAAACCAATCAAAACACATGAATTAAAGCATTACAGAACTTGGAAACAAGATCACAGAAAATCAGCAATGGCTCCCATCATACATTCCGTTATCTTCGAAATAGCTAGCCATGCCATCAAACACAGTAAAGTCTAACAGAATAAGCCAGAATAAAGCCAAACCTAAGAAAACTCTGACAATACAAGAATTCAAAACAAGGTAATAGGAAATTAATAATGGTTACCACTTTACCCTTTTAGATATTTCCTCCCTTATCACTTTCTGATTAGCTTTATTCTGTTTTGTTTGGTTTTATTCTCTTTAAAAAGAAAAAAACAAAGCCACTTATAGCTGCTGGGTATCTGGGGACTATGGGGTCCCTTGGGTAGTTTAAATCTTGAATACTCTCCAAAGGTCTAAATGTTAAAGGCTTGGTCCCCACTTGGTTCTACTGGGAGCTGGTGCAAATTACAAAAATCTGAGCCTACTGGAATATCTTCCAGTCACTAGAGAGGGCTCATGACCTTCAAAGGGACAGAGGGACCCAGCTCACTCTTCTCCCTCTTCTCTTGCACCCTGACCATCAGTCAGGTAGACACTCCCATCATGATGTCCTGCTCACTATGAGATGCTCAAAATGAATATGTCCACCTCATCAAGGACTAGAACCTCCAAAACTCTGTCAAAATAAACCCTTCTGTTTACATACTGATTATCTTAGGCTACTTGTTACAGCAACAAGGAGCTGACCACCAGGACATACAGCCCCTCCTGTCGTGGAGAGGTGAGCTGGCCTGCAGTCCTCTCTGGGACAAGGGAAGGGGGGCCCCTGGTGCTAAAGGGCTCCTTGTGGGTACAGCCTAGAGAGCAGTGAGGAGCACATTACAATTTCATCTCAGCATGCCTCAGAGATCTTGCAACCTGATGTCTGCTCACTTGCTTTTCCATCGCTGGGACACAGTGCCTGACAGTGGCAACTTGAAAGGAGAGAGGTGTATTTAGCTCCCAGTTTGCAGCGGGTGCAGACTAAAGTTGCCTGGCTTCCAGGCAAGGCAGAAACACCTGGAAGAAGAGGGCGGCTGCTCTCATCTCCTGGAAGCTGGGGAGTGGGAAGACAAAGGAGGAGCCATGCACAAGAATACAGCCTTCTAGGCCACACCTTGGGGACCACCTCCAAGCAACCCCCACATCCTAATAGTACATTGGGCTATAGGCTTTGATGCATCAATCCACGGTTGGGCACAGCACACCCGTGACCCTCTCTGTTTCCCAAAGCCTCACCTCTCTGAACACAGAAGACACTGGGGTGGGGGGCATTTTATTTTATCTTATTTTATTCCATGCACCTTTGT